CTTGCCCATGTAATTGTAACCCCTCTGTACAGTATTTTCACAATTAAAAAAAAGTTTCATGGGTCAGAAAGAAAGATAGTGTTGAGTTATTCAAAACTTCTTTTTGTTTCCCAGTGACATAAATTCCATAAGAGATTTAGTGGAAGGACTGTAGTGAAGAAAGAATGGGTATCACCCGGCATCTGTCACTCACCTGTGCTGTCCCCGCATTCCTTCTGTCTAGAGTGTCTGGACTATACTGCCTCATAAATTTTACTCTTTTATTTCCTTTTCTTTCTTTGCTTAAAGTACATCCCTGGGGCTGGGAAGGTGGTTCAGTGATAGAGTGCTAGCCTTGCATGCGTGAGGCCCTGGGTTCGATTCCTTAGCACCACATAAGCAGAAAAAGCCAGAAGTGGCACTGTGGCTAAAGTGGTAGAGTGCTAGCCTTGAGCTGAAGAGCTGAGGGACAGAGCCCAGGCCCAGAGTTCATACCATGCCCCTCCCCCCACGACTGACCAAAAAAAAAAAAAGTACAGCCCTAATGAGACTAGTCATGTGCTTTCTCTGTGTGCGCTAAGGAGCTGAACATCACTGGGGAGAAGCACATGGTAACAGGTTAGATTAGAAGGGGGTTCACAACTCAAAATACTGTGGCTTCAGTTCTCTTCCTCCAAAGACTGGATGTGGTGGGCCCAGGACTGGTGTATGGCCATGACACTTCAGGCTCGTCTGTCTTGTTCTGCCTTGGGGCAGGTCACCTCATTCCAGGATGACTGCTCAGGCTCCAGCCACTGCATCCATGTGTTATGGAGCATGAAGGGGAAAGGAGAGGAGAAGACATGCCCTCTTCTTATTAGGAAGTAACATGCTATACCACACTGCAAAGAAGGTGAAAAATGCAGTCTTCCTGGGGAATGGCTATGTATCCAGCTAAAAGTTGAGAGTTCTCTTACTGAGGAGGAAGATGAGAAATGTTGGGGAATAATTCATAGTCTTTACTGCATGACATGACTACATTTATTTCAAATCCATAGCCATAAAGCTTAAACAGACATTCAGAACACCCCTGAAATTTTCATCCTACTAGATTTTCCTGTGAAATGGACTCTCCTTTCCCCTTAAATCTCCACTCACTTATGTGATCCCTAAACTTTGCTCATATCTCTGCCTCTTGTATTACAAGAAAAAGAAAACAAAAACAAAATTAGATAGGACCTTGGTGTCTGAGTGTATCTGTCTCTGTTTAAATACAATACATTTTTTGATAGATTGTGAAAAGATAAAGACATTAAAAATTTTTCATTTACTTGTGAATCCCATTAACAAGCCAAAAAATTATTTGTTAAAGAAATAGCACAGTTTGTAATTACAAGTGTTTTACAGCAATAAGGTAACAGCCAAAATAACCTAGTGGTCTGGGGGGTAAGGGTTATCTGTCTCTGTATCCAGCACCTAGGGTAATTCCTAGTATACAGTGAGCACTCAGGAAATATTTACTAGTGGATGGACTTATTTATGACAAATGTGAGCATTGAACATTTCAGCCCGTAATTAGAGAGGAAAGAACATTTCTCATCAGGTTATGGCTGTGGGTATCCTAAAGATGGATGTATCTAGCCCAGCTTGGCTCCAGCTCACCCTGGGGGTTAGGAGGCAGGGTGTGTGCTGCACAGCACCTATCTAAATCTTGTGGTTGGTGCTGGAGAGGAGCCATCGCCCAAGAGAAAAGCAAAAAGCACATCTTTGAGAAGGACCTGGACCTGGAATTGGCTTTCACATTATATGTATTGCCATTCCGTGGGACATTCCCCCAGGGCTGGGACACAGGAGTGACATTCTCTGTTGGCCTGTCACTTCTGCCAGATTCCTTTTGATGACTTCTGTAGAGGCTCAATGGTCAGTCAGCGTATTGCAGTCCTGCTCACCTCGCCTTCTTCTGACTGGTTTCCTTTCAGATCACCTCTGCCAGCTCCCAGACCCTCAGGGGACACGGCCTCTGTAGGACCACTCTGAAGGACTCCTCAGCACATCGCTGACCTGAGCAGCTGGCCTCAGTGGACTTGACCAGTCCTTCCCAACAGGAGAGAGACTTGACCGGTCACTAAAGAAAGAAGCAACAAAGCTTGGAAGACAAGCTGCAAGTGGTGAAACAACTGCAGTGAGTGGAAAAATGCATCTCTGCTGCCTCATGAACAACTGTACAATCATTAAATTTACTTAAACCATCAGCCCCTTTGCCTCTCTACTTCCACTTCATTTTTTTTTTGCCAAGATTAGTGTTTCCAATGAAGTGTTGCCATTTTCTCTACAGTCTTAAGTGTTTGCCAGCCCAGTTTCTATTGCAGACACTGCCAGCCTGTGGGTTTCCCCCTGGACGCTGTGTAGTAGAAACTGAAGGAGGGGATGGTGGGAGCCATTTGACATTTTTATTTGCTGCCAGTGGTCCAGCTGCCGGTTGTTGCATGGTAGTCTACCCATTTTGCCTGTGGACTTCTTGTGTAGCCTGTCAGCTCATTTACTGTGTGCAGGTCTGGGAGTGCTTGGAGAATCCCATGTCTCAGGAATAGGTTCCTAGTGGTAGTCCTTGGCCTGTTTACTACTGCAGTTACTTTTAGCTCTGCGCTTCATGAAAACAACTGTTAAGCTATAACCTGGAGATACTATGGGTGAAGTCACCACTATTGCTTAAGAGTCATATGAAGGCAGAGGGATAGCTTAATGCAAGAGCACTTGCCTGGCATATGTATGGTGCTGGGTTCAATTCCAGGCACTGCATCCTAATATGTAAAAGAGCAGAAGCTGGAGCCCAGCTGCTCTGGGGGCTAATGAGGGTGACTTGTACTAGGAAGGGGAAGGAGGGAAGCACAGATAGGAGAGGTAGAATCCGCAGGGCTTGGTGTATTGGTGAGAGGAAGAAATTAAGAATGAGTTGGGTGTTGTAGTGCATAACTGTAATCTCAGCCTTTGGGAGACTGAAGCAGGAGGAATATGAGGTCAAGTCTATATAGTGAGACTGTCTCAAAAAACAAATACAAGCACTTGTGTAAGCACACACAGTCAAAAAGGGAAAAATAGTGTGTCAAGTGTCTGGTTAGAAAAGTGGAGTAGATTAGACGGCTGTTTACCTGGGTGTGATTGGTGGGGAAAAATTGAAATGTTAAATCTGGGCAGAAGCTAAAGGCAGTAGTGTATTGTTCCTCACTGTGAGACAGGCCCCCGTGTAGTCTTTGTGTTTATGGTGAGCGTTTGTGGTTCTGGAGTGGTCACCTCTGGCTAACACTGGGTGCAAGGCCAAGAGTCTCTGCCTGACCTACAGGCAGCAGCTGTGTTCCCAGATCCTTTGTGGGTATATTGTGGAGACTTACAGCCCTTGCTTGCTTGCTTTGTGGTGTTACCAGGATCTTACCTGCTCTTTTTTTGGGGAGGGGGGGGGTCCAGTTGTGGGGTCTGAACTCTGGGCCTGGGCGCTGTCCCTCAGCTCTTCAGTTCAAGGCCAGCGCTCTACCACTTGAGCCACAGCACCGCTTCCAGCTTTTTCTGCTTATGTGGTGCTGAGGAATTGAACCCAGGGCCTCACGCATGCCAGGCAAGCGCTCTACCACTGAGCCACCTTCCCAGCCCTCTTACCTGCTCTTTATCTCCCGTGTTTTGTATTTGATTGTTCCCTTCAGTGCTTAATGTGGAGGAGTGGGATTCTAGCCCCTGTATGACTCTAATATTGGATCAACATGCAAAACAAAGCATTTAGATTTGAGTGTTAGCTTTCTGCTGTTAAGAGTCAACTAAAATAAAAGTTTATTTTGGTTTGCAAATTTAGAGGCCCCAGTCCATGAACTATTGGTCTTGTTTCTTTTGGGCCTGGTGAGGCTGCCCTTGGTGTGGAGTGTGTAGGGGTCAAAGCATTCACCTCATTACCAAGAGGAAAAAAGAAAAAAGAACAAGGCCCTAGCGTCCCCTTCAAGAGCACACCCCAGTGACCTAAAGACCTCTGTCTAGGCACCAATCCATAAGGCTTCACCACACCCAGTAGCACCCAGCTGGAGACAAAGCCTTAAACACCTGGGTCTTTGGAAGACATTGCAGATCCAACCTACCCTAGAGAGGTCTGGGCAGACTCACAGAAAGAAATGTGTTAATCATTATTGTGCTTGTCTCTTTGTATACGAGGTAACAGTGGATTTTGTTACTTGTGTCATTTTTTTCTTCCATTCATGCTATTTTTTTCAATCCTGTCTTAAGAATTTCTCTGACTAGTTGTAAACAAAGATTCTTATGTACAAGTAATGAAGACCAGTGAATCCTTTTTTTGCTTGAAGAAAGATCGTTTATTAAAGAGCTGATTACAACAGTGCCAGAAATCCCTGCGGCAATTGGTGAAATTCCAAAGGATTCCTGACATCTTAAGACTAACGCTACTTAAATCATAAGGATGTCAATTCCATATTTCATAGGCAAAGTTGTACAGAGGGTTTTGCTTTTGTTGAGGGACCCTTGCCTGGCTTCAGATGTGCAGGGTTCACTTTGCTGCCTGAAGATCATTCTGTGGGGAGATAAGAGACAATGTATCAGACAGTTCAGGGCACTCCATTCCCTGCCAGGTTCTTGCTTCAGGGGTGGGAAGTAAACAGATCACATCAGTGTGAGTCCCAGGTTATTTCTGGTGATGGTTGTTTGCACATATCAGGGACAGAAGCAGAGGATGATGTTTGGTAGGTGGGGGGGCCTCCATGTAACCCCAAAACAGCCCATCCAGAAACAATAGATTCACAACACTGGTTGTGGTGTTATTCGATCAGTGAAGCCACTGTGGTAGCTGTCACCATGCTGGCTGTTCAATACCAGTATTTTAATTGTTGCTTAAAAGTAGCCTGGGCTTGGCTTTCTGCCACTTTTAGCAATAGCAATGTCATCTGATCTGACCCCTTGAGGGAAGGCACGGTGTGGGTTGTAGTGTAAAAGAGAAATGTTTGCAGAATGCTTGCCTTGTATACACACGGCCCTGGGTTTGGTCCTCAGTATGGCCAAGAATAAAACAAAACCAACTAAGCCAACTGAACAGACAAAAAGAAAAATATTTCTTTCTTTTTTTTTTTTTTGTCTTGTGGCCTGAACTGTGGGCCTGGACGCTGTCCCTCATCTCTTCAGCTCAAGGCTAGTGTTCTACCGCTTGAGCCAAAGCACCACTTCTGGCTTTTTCTGCTTCTGTGTTGCTGAGGAATCAAACCCAGGGCCTCATGCATGCAAGGCAAGCGCTCTACCACTGAACTACCTTCCCAGCCCCAGAAAAATATTTCCCTTACCGTCTTCATCAGCTTGATATTGGTGTCCTCTAGGGAGCCGATGGTCACTGTTTCTGGCATGTTGGCTTGATTCAATAGCTCTGAAATAATAGGTTGTAATAGAGGTTGAGGAAGACAAACACACTCCGGGGTGGCTTGTTTTAGTCCTAGTCACATGGAGGGTCCTCTGGGCTGTATTTGGCTCTAAGAGCAATCACTGCCCTACCCACTCATCAGTGTGACTGCATACAGACCTGCATGGTCTTACCCAGTGTGTTGAGATGGGGTCTAGGGCGGGGTGAGAGTGCAGTAGAAAGAGAGATTCCAGAAGCAGATGAAAACCTGATGGTAGCCTAATATTGACGCCATGTGACACACTGGCAGGTCTGACTCACTACCTTATAACACTGGGCCTTAGGCCCTGCTGTTTGTGGTGGTCACTGCACTACTTTGAACTTGAGAATTCACCTGAAGTCTGTGCAGATTCCATGTCACTCCTTCAGCATCACTGTCACAAGGGCTATGACCCCACCCTCTAGAGTTATCAAACCCTTAATATCTGTGTGATATTACACTAGGTGAGATAGGGCCATGTTCTACTCAGTGGCCTGACAGCATTGATTCTCAGACACCTGTGGATCTGTTTTTTGGAGGGGAGCTATAGAGGGACAATTTTGATCTGGTTTTCATTTTGACCATTTCCCCATGTTGCCTCGTCTATCTTGAGAGGAAGGGCTTGGGATCCAGGTAAGGCTGGGACCCCATGCATTGTGCTCCAGCCCTGCAGGGTGATGCGTGCCCCTCTCCTGTGTCTCTCCCTCTCCTAGGCATCTGGGTTATTGATTTCACATACCGTTAATTTTAGCTAAGAATATCTTGAAAAGTTCTTCCATCACAGCTATAACCTCTTCTTTCTGCAAGAAATAGGAAGGGAATATTTTCACCAATATCTTTTAATTTCACCCCGCTTCCCCTACCTCTGGGCTTGAAGTGGCAGCCAGGAAGAGCAGTCTTCAGATGATGTACCTGAAGGCGATTTCTAGTGCCAACTCTCTTACTATACAAGGCTGTGGAGGTGGGAGGGGGAGGGGAATGCCAATCCATTCCTTAGGCTGAAGCTCAAGGCAAGTGCTCTATCACTTGAGCCACAGCGCCACTTCCGGTTTTCTGGTGGTTAATTGGAGATAAGAGTCTCACGGACTTTCGTGCCCTGGCTGGCTTTGAACCCTGATCCTCAGATTAGCCTCCTGAGTAGCTAGGATTACAGGTGTAAGCCACTGGCACCCGGCTTCTTTGGGAGATTCTGAGGCCTCCCAGTAGGGTTTTGCTGGCTTCTGTGCCACATGGCTGCAGGCACAAGGGATAGATCTGAGCTTTCAGGAGCAACAGAGATCAATGGACAGAGGAATGGTTGTTAATGATCATTGCTGTTCCTGCCCTGTCTTCAGATTCGAGGCCAGCCTGGTCAGGTTCTCCCTGTAGCCCTGTGAGTCTGTGCTGCCTCCCTTACACATTTGGCTCTCTCTCCCTGCTCCACACTCTGCGTGTGACAAAGTACTGCCCTTCCTTCACGGAGCTCTAGGACTGCCTTCCATTTGATGCTGCTTCTTTCTGCACTATATTCTTGATGCCCAGGTGACAATTCTGTGTATAAAGGTCTGTGTCCCTTAAGTCCAGAGCCCACACAGACTGTAGCTGCCTAGCAAATCTGAGATGGAGAGAATGTGAGCTTGTGATGACTCCCAGAATCTGTCTTGCAGCTGACTCAGTGCTGACATAGGAGACCCAGATCCTGAACTCAGTCATAAGGCTGCTCAGCTGTGGGTGCCCACTGTGGGCCTCCATCTCTCATGTGGCCACCAGGCTTTTAACTTTTCCCATTTCTTAGGTGTTTGCCTGTGTCCATCTAGCCTCCCCCTGGAGTGCCAGCTCGTCACCACTTTATGATGCATTTGCAGGGCCAGCTGCAAACATCTATTGAATTAAGGAATAAATATGCTCAAGAGCAGGTGTCTGTTTCCTCTCTATTGCTGGAGCCTGGCTCCTGGGCTTTGCCCTCTCTCTCCTCTCTCCTTTTCTTCTTAGACTCCCTTTTGGGCTTCCCTGGGCTTGCCTGGAAGCACATGATCACTATACGTGGTTATAGCACCAGGTCAGAAAGCACTGATAAGAGCTGAGGTCACACAACAAGCCAGATCTGCTTAGGAAATGCTCCAGGCTTGTTGGCCTATTGCAACATCCAGGACACTCAAGAAATAGGGGCTTCAGGCCACAGACTGGGCAGTGTACTTTACAAGAGATGTGGGTAGCGTGTTTTAAGAGCTTGCCAGAAGCCAGACATGGTAGTGTACACGTGTAATCCTAGCATGTGGTAGGCAAAGGAAGGAGGGTCCTAAGTTCTAGGCTGGGAGCTGGTAGTCCTACTCCACAATCTATCTGTCACCTAGTCTTTGTGATCGCCTCCTTCCCTGTGAGACTGGGCATCTGGCATTAAAATAACTTCCCACATGTCATAGGTAAATAGTGAAAAACACATCAACTTACCACCTCTGAGGGCTCTACATGGTGCTCAGTTCTGCCAAGAAACAAAGTACAGAGAAGTTTTAGATTCATTATGAAGACAACCATTCAGGCTTAGCTTATAATGATCTCAGTTGCTGCTTTTTCCTTTTTTTGTGCCAGTCCTGGGGCTTGAACTCAGGGCCAGGGCACTGTTCCTGAGCTTCTTTTTGCTCAAAGCTAGTGTTCTACCACTTAAGCCACAGCTTTTTCTGAGTAGCTTATTAGAGATCAGAGTCTCACAGACTTTTCTGCCTGGGCCGACTTCAAACCGTGGTCCTCAGATCTCAGTCTCCTGAGTAGCTAGGATTACAGGTGTGAACCACCAGCACCCATCTTTCTCAGTGATTCTTTTTTTTTTTTTTTTGTCAGTTGTGGGGCTTGCACTCTGGGCCTGAGCACTGTCTATCAGCTCTTCAGCTCAAGGTGAGCGCTCTACCACTGGAGCCACAGCGCCACTTCCGGCTTTTTCTGCTTATGTGGTGCTGAGGAATCGAACCCAGGGCCTCATGCATGCAAGGCAAGCACTTTACCACTGAGCCACCTTCCCAGCCCTCTCAGTGATTCTTAATGAAAGCAGTTATCAATCAAGTAGAAAACTACTCTTCAGAAAGGACAAGATGAATAAGAGCATGTGAGTTTAAAACCCCATTCTGATTTCCCTATAATTATCCAAGTAGTTTTTGAGAGCCTTAGGACTTAGTGTGCTTGCAATGAATTGTGTTGGGGTTTGAAGGGTCCCATGGAGAATAATGTAGTCACTGGCATTACCTGGTCACTTTGATGTCTACTTTCAGTTTGTTTTTGAAAATCTTGCCTGTAGATGTGATGGTTACATTCTGAAATAACACAAAAAAATGAGCATAAGTTAAAAAAAACACATATCACAATGTGACATGACCAATAGGGTCCCGGGCTAGGACCAGAGGAGAGCCTGCCTAGTCTTTATCTTTCCAGGCCTAACCACTCATTTGTTTTTCTTGCCCTGGGAGCTGAACCCTCAATTTGGCTGAGGGTTGGGGTTTAGTAACAGTTCTTCCCACTGAGCACTAGTCCTTGTAATTTCTTCCCATAACTCAGTTACAGTTTATTCTTGTGCATGTGTGTACATGCGTGTGCACGTGTGCACCAGGAGAGGGAGGATGAGGTATAGGGGTCTTGGGCTTGAACTCAGGGCCTGGGTGCTGTCCCTGAGCTCTTTTGCTCAAGGCTAGTGTTCTGCCATTTGAACCACAGCTCTCCTTCCAGCTTTTTGGGCAGTTAATTGGAGATAAGAGTCTCATGGACTTTCCTGCCTGGGCTGGCTTTGAACAGTGATCCTCAAGTCTGAGCCTCCTGAGTAGCTAGGATTATAAGTGTGAGCCACCAGGGCCTGGCTCCAATTTGTTCTTAACACTCACCGTTTTCCCTTTAGCAAAGCTCTCACCATTCTTTTGTATCTGAACACTGTAAGTGGCTTGAATGGTATTATTTTTCTGCAAGGCATAGGTTACTTTGGTGATATTTACAACCAGGTCGTCTTTCTGTTGGAAAGAAGTCATCAGTTAGCATGTAGAGAGGATGAAGGGTGGCACTTTTGTTGCATTGTGAGCCATTCACGTACTGGTCAAATTATTCATTTCAATCTTTATTGTTCCTCTAAGACAAGCTGGTCACCTAGCTAGGTGCTGGTATGGCCATGGCCATGGTACCCACAATATTGAGGCCTACTTACAAACAATTTTCTGTATCTTTTTGCTTTCATGGAAGGAGAAGAACAGAAACCATGTGAAATAGTGCTTTTCTATTACACCTCCTCCGATTTGAAGCCTAGTCCTTTTTTTTTTGTTGGTCATGGCACCTGAACTCGGCATGGACACTGTCCCTCAGCTCTTCAGTTCAAGGCTAGTGCTCTACCACTTGAGCCACAGCGCCACTTCTTGAAGCCTAGTTCTTTCTCAGCCCTAATGGCAGGCTAGCTCCCAATCGGTCATTTAGGAATATATAGTTTATTGTTTCAGACTGAGCCTGATAGACCAACAGTGTCACTCTGGATATTCTCTCACACCTCCCCCTCCTACTTTTAGCACCAAGAGTAAATGAATACCTTATGGGTAGATAAACCTGTTGGTAAATTAATTAACTCCCTCAGGTCATCTGTAAAATGGGGAGAATATCTCCACCCAAGCGTTGTGTGGTGCAAGGACATTAATTCTGTAAAGTTACCTGTCTGGGTACCTGGCAAACAGATAGATGGCACTCAGAAAATGTCCTCCTATGACTTTGCTCTTTGCTTTCCACTGATGTAGACGTGGACTCTGAGTGGCCATGGAGCGGCCAGCAGATGGCACTTACTTTGACTGAGCTCTCCTTGGCAGTATAATCGACCAGTGTCTTCATCCATGTGCGGGACAATGTTAGGGAACTGTTGGCATCTTTAGGATTTGGAGGCAGAGAAATTCCAAGCACAAGCTTTGTGGTTTTGCCCAAGATAGCTTCAACCTGGAGTGAGAAAAACAGAAAAATCTCTGAGTGATGGAGACTGCCCCTTAATGTCAAGGTCTTTGTGGGTGGTTGTCAAGGTGACAGAGGAGGCCTGGTGAGCATTGCCTGAGAGTGAGCAAGGCCTCCAGTTTGGGTGACCACAGGTAGTGGTGAGTTTATGGTGAGGGCAGAGCCGCTGTCCCAGCTCCAGATGATTGTAGCTGATGTGTGTAGTATGGCCTGGGGCAAACAGATCTCTGATTTTCTAAGAGAAGCTATAGTGCCTATTTCTCAGAAAAATCCTCTGGTTCCTGGAAGGCATGTCTATTCACCAGTGTTTTATCTTTTTCTAACATGTCCTCCCAAACTAGAATGCCCAGGCTCCTTTCTTCCTTCTCACCCTTCAAAGCCCCTCTTGTTCTGAAATTATTGCATATATATTCTGCCCTCTGTTAAGGAATTTTTTTTGGGGGGGTGAGGGTGAGGGGTGCCAAGCTTGAACTCAGAGCCTGGGCACTGTCCCTGAGCTTTTTTGCTCAAGGCTAGCATTCTACTACATACCACAGATACAGCTTTTGGGTGGTTAATTGGAGGTAAGAGTCTCAAGACTTTTTTTTTTTTTTTTGCCAGTCCTGGGGCTTTAACTTAGGGCCTGGGCACTATCCCTGAGCTTCTTTTGCTCAAAGGTTAGCACTCTACCACTTGAGCCACATAGTGCCACTGTCTGGCCTTTTCTGTGTATGTGGTACTGAGGAATTGAACCCAAGGCTTCATACATGGTAGGCAAACACTCTACCACTAAGCCATATTCCCAGCCTCAAGACTTTTATGTCCTGGATGGCTTTGAGCCTTGATCCTCAGATCTCTGCCTTCTGAGTAGCTAGGATTACAAGTGTGAGCCCCCAGCACCTGTCTAGAAGTTTTTTTTCTTGAATGTATTCTCCCCCTGCTTATAAAGCTCAGACTCGCTGGGAAGGAGGCTCAGTGGTAGAGCACTTGCCTTGCATGCTCAAGGCCCTGGGTTCGATTCCTCAGAACCACATAAGAAAAAAGCCGGAAGTGGCGCTGTGGCTCAAGTGGTAGAGTGCTAGCCTTAAGCTGAAGAGATGAGGGACAGCGCCCAGGCCCAGAGTTCAGGCCCCACGACCGGACCCAAAAATAAAAATTAAAAAAAAATAAAAAAATAAAGCTCAGACTCCATTTGGCCAGAACATTAGAAAATTTGGAGAGGTAGGAAAGAAAAGGGGAACTTCCTGCATAATACCACTGATTCTTCCTCCTCTATTTCATGTACACCTCATAGTACTTTTGTTATATTTTAAAAGAATTAGCAACACCTGAATAGCATTTTCTTACATTCATTAAATACCTTGTAATGTTTAGCTTGATCTTATCATTGGTTTAGCTATTTCCTTTAAGTTTATTCCAGGTTATTTTTCTAATCTCATCATGTGGCTTTACACTTCATTAGATCTGTAGTTTTTTTTTTTTTTTAATGGATTTCAGAAGTGAAGCTAACTTGTTCTTTTTTTTTTTTTTTTGGTCATGGGGCTTGAACTGTTGGCCTGGGCACTGTCCGTCAGCTCTTCAGCTCAAGGTGAGCGCTTTACCACTTGAACTACAGTGCCACTTCCAGTTTTCTGGTGGTTTATTGGAGATAGGAGTCTCACAGTCTTTCCTGCCCGGGCTGGCTTTGAACTGCGATCCTCAGATCTCAGTTTCTTGAGTAGCTAGGATTATAGGTGTGGGCCACCAGCACCCAGCTTGCTAACTGGTTCTTAAATGTCCCTTTTAGCAGTTCTCCTGGCCTATTTCTGCTCTCCTTTGAGTAGGAAAGAGAGGGAGAGTAGGAAATGCTGGCACTTGTCATTTGGTTATGTGTTGTCCATTGGACATCAAGATTTGGGCTGAGTAATGGTGGTTACAGTTATCTTTGTTGGGTTGCCTTGTATTGGACTTGAATGGAAAAGAACACAGCCTATCCCAAGGGTAGGCCCAAGGTATGGTAATGCCAGTCTAGGAAATTGAAATGAAAGATGTGGGGAGCTGAGCAGGAGTTGCTCTGTTTTGGCTTCCTGATCTCTCTTGTGAGTTCAGGTATGTCTCCAGCCTCTGACCAGAGCCAGCCAAAGGTCAAAGAATACTTACACAGTAGAGGACATAAAGACCTTCGGGGGAAATCTTGGCATTCTTAATTTGGTACTTGAATGTGCCAGTGGCTGCAAGAGAGAGAGAGGAAAAGGAGGAATGGAGAGAGCACAGCCCTCTTCTGTTTGGCAAAGTCCTATACTTTCTGCCCAGCACTGCCGTTCCCCACAAGGATCAGTATGAACAGCTCCTGCTGGGGTCCCTGGCAGAAAGCTGGAGTGCTGTCTGGATGTGGTGAGGATGAACCCATCAGGATCCTCCCTTTCAATGATGTGCCAAAGCCTCCATAGGGAGGAAAATATAGGCGTAGCCAGTCCTGTGATTTGTCTGTGTTTGAGGACTTGGCAAATGTCACTGTTTGGCATTAGCTGTCTATACCACTGCCAACCCACCATGTTGTACCCATCCCCACTCTGGCTTGTGTATGGAGACCTGAGAGATTTCCTGGTTCTCAGGCTGTTGGGAGATGGGGCTGAGGACCCAGGGCACCTTTGCCCTTCGTAAACCATTTGGGACTGGAGAGCTCTGAGGAGACTCTGGAGAAGCTCTTTGTCCTCTTTCCTTCCTAGGGGATGCCAAAGTAGCCTCAAGAGAAAGGTCACCTCCATTCTGAGGGTATTGAGGAGGGATGTCTGCGTGCTTGCAGGTGTAAGGTGTTGCATCTTGCAGTCTATTATTGCTGGTCCACACTCAGTGGAATGCCTAAGGTGTCTGGGCCATTGCTGTTCACTGAAATGAGTGTCCCAAGAGGGTGAAGAAAATTTTTTTTGTCAGTCGTGGGGCTTGAACTCAGGGTCTGGGTGCTGTCCCTGAGCTTTTTTGCTCAAGCCTAGCATTCTACCACTTTGAGCCATTTTGTTACTTCCAGTTTTCTGGTGATTAATTGGAGCAAGAGTCTCTTGGACTTTCCTGCCTAGGCTGGCTTGGAATCCAGATCCTCCAATCTCAGCTTCCTAAGTTAGTAGGATTACAGGCGTGAGCCACTAGTGCCTGGTTTGAGGGTGAAATTTTGTACTCACAGTTCTTGCAGTCGCTGAAGTCACTGAGAACAATCTTACAGGACTCTGCTTTCTCCAACTGCAAAATTATCTCCAATTAGTTTTGCTATGGAAGCCTTCCCATGGCCCCCACCCTGCTAGCCTGGCCTTAACCCAGCTCTGCTGTTGCTTCTTTCCCCTTCCTTCCCTTTCCCTGGCCTCTTTTCTTGGCTCCTCTCTATGCAGAAGCCATAGTCCCTCTCCATAGCCTGAGGTATTGTTAGTTCTGCTGGGTGGCTATTTGGACCAGAGGGATTGTGGGTTCCCACCTGAGTCTCTACTGGCATTAGGCCCTTTCTGGGGCCAGAACTCCTCCCCAGTGATGCAAGCCTTCGAGGGGTACCCGCCTCTTTCCAAAAACTTACATTCTCCTGCAAATGTATTGTCAACACTTTAGGGATAATATTATCCATAGGCAGAGGCAGAGGCACAGGCAGAGTGTCCGTGGCCCTGTGAAAGGAGAACCATGTGATTCCTGTGTTCCTGAACTTTCCCAAACATTAAACAAACCCACCACTGATGAAACAGCCACAACCAGATCCTGCTGCTTATTATGGGTGTACGCCTGAGCCCTTCACCTTGGCTTTCTGTCCTTAAGGGAGGTACATGGCAACATGATCAAAGCACAGGACATCTGGCCTAGAGGTCTACCTGAAGGAGTTCATCCTTTTAGATACCTGAAGGCATGCTGGGCAGACCTGTCTGTGCATTTTTTCATCATTAATATCAAAGTTAATAACCAACAGGGGGGACTGGATTAAAGAAATTATAATGAGTCTTCCTAAGGGAATATTTAGAATCGTAAAAGATAAGGAAGCTGATTGGTAATATGGATGAAACATCTCTCTCTCTGTCTCTCTCTCTCTGTCTCTGTTTCTCTCTCTGTTTCTGTCTTTCTCTGTCTCTGTCTCTCTCTGTCTCTCTGTCTCTCTCTGTCCCTCTCTGGTTGTGGTGGTCATGGGGCTTGAACTCAGGGCCTGGACACTGTCCCTGAGAAATTTCACTCAAGGCTAGTGTGCTACCACTTGGAGTCACAGCACCACTTTTGGTTTTCTGGTGGCTAATTGGAGATAGAAGTCTCACGGACTTCCCTGCTTGGGCTGACTTCAAACCATGATCTTCAGATCTCAGCTTCCTGCGTAGCTAGGATTACAGACATGAGCCTCCAACACCCAGCTTTCCAACTCTTTTTAGATGGGAAACAATTAAAGTCCAGAGAGATTTGTGTCCTGTCGCTTTCTACATGTGCATGGACAGATGCCAATGTGTGTTTGTGAAAACAAACGGAAGAGCTTGGGTCTGGTAGTTGTTTCTTAGAAGGAGAAATTAGCCAGCAGGCAGGCACAGCTGGCAGAGACAGTTTTCACTCTATGGACTTTCTGTAGTCTTTTAGATCTGACCCAAGTGAATGTATTGAAAGCAAATTATTGAAGTACGGCTGACAGGCAGAAGGAGGGGGAGTCACAGAAGGGTCTTCTCAAACGCAGTGGGTCATCTCTATGCAGAGACATTTTTTGGACTTCTTCACTAGTAGTTCATCTGATTGCTTTGGGACAGCTCAGGGGCTCTAGGGGTGAAGGCTGAGAGCAGTGGGGATGGCCAGGCGCAGCTGACCCAGAAAATGAGAAAGATGGTCATACGTACATATTTGCTAACTCTATAATCATTTTTTTGCTTTCCATTTTTGTTTCCTGGATCTCGAGGTTGACGCATTGGGTGTTGTTTGTGGAAACACCAATGTGCAAAGTCACATCCACATTCAATTTAAATCCCAGTATGCTGATCACGGGTCCAGCTATGCTGTGGAGAGCAAGGTACAGGTGAAACCAGGTCTGGCACCAAGATAAGACTAAGGCTGTGCTGTAGGCATTTTGAGAATTGGCCTTATTATAGTTATCAAAGTTAACAGGGGAAAGGAATGGTTAGTGCTCCAGCACTTGTGTACTCTGGCCACTGACTACACAGGTTGTTAATTAACATTTTCAACAACCACTACCCTAACCTGCCTGAGAAAGTCTGGTATAGGTGGTGGTACCCAGCACTCTAGCCCTGCTTGTTGTAGGCTACACTGTAAGAAAAGTCCACCATGTGCACAGGTGTTTTTTTTCTTGGGGGGTAAGGTGGGGGGCTTGAATTCAGGGTCTGGGCATTGTCCCTGGGCCTCTTTGTGCTCAAGGCTAGCACTCTACCACTTGAGCCACAGCAACTCTCCTGGCTTATCTGCCAGGGCTGGCTTTGAATCGAGATCCTCAGATCTCAGCCTCCTGAGTAGCTAGGATTACAGGTGTGAGCTACTGGTACCTGGCTCAAGTGGGTTTATTAAAGTGAGAAGTTGTGGCCAATGCAAATGGTTCTTCCTTGAGTCAAGGGCTCACTAGTTAGTCCAGGCTGGCATTGAACTGGCCATTCTCCTACCCTCTGAATGCTGGGATTATAGGCTTGGATCCCCACTATGGTGACAAATGCCTCTTCCTGAGGTTGTGGTCTATGTGTTCTTACCCTAGCCCTTGAACTTTGAGCCACAGTCCTTGGGGGTGGGGGACCCAAGGGATTCTCATGGAAACAGGCTTACCCTTTCCCGCCTATGGTAGCAGTGGTTGCAGCATGGACTTGGATTGTGTTGCCCATCATAGATGATTCCATGTTGTCCACAGTTACTCCTTGGACCTCCAAGCTGCAAATTGACAACGTGAAGAGTCAGTTCAGTTCTAGTTCAAGGAACCAGTCTGGATTGCAGGAGAATCTTCCTTCCTTCCTTCCTTCCTTCCTTCCTTCCTTCCTTCCTTCCTTTCTTTTTTTGGCTGACCTGGGGCTTGAACTCAGTCCCTGAGCTTCTTTTGCTTAAGGCTAGCACTCTACTTCTTGAGCCACAGCGCCACTTCTGGCTTTTTCTGTGTATGTGGTACTGAGGAATCGAACCCAAGGCTTCAGGCATGCTAGGCAAGCACTGCCACTAAGCCACATTCCAGACCCAGGAAAATTATATTTTTGTGTGTGTGTCAGTCATTGGGCTTGAACTCTGGGCATGGGCACTGCCCCTCAGTTCTTCAGCTCAAGGCAAGTGCTCTACACCACTTGAGCCACAGCACTACTTCCGGTTTTCTGGTGTTTTATTGGAGATAAGAGTCTCACAGGCTTTCCTATCCCGGCTGGCTTTGAACTGTGATCCTCAGATCTCAGCCTCCTTAGTAGCTAGGATTACAGGTGTGATCCACTGGCATGCGGCTAGAAGAATCATTTTTAAAGCAGCCAGTTCACAACCTGCTGAGGTACCACCACTCCTTTGTCCTGCAGCCCCTTTCCAGGTTGTTTAAGCTTAAAAAGAAATTTCCACCATAGTTTCCAGACAGGGTACTTGTGTATTACTTTGTGCAAGAGTAGTGGTCACTTTCACTGGAAGAGTTAGAGGTTCAACTAGAGTTTTTCCAACAAGCAGATTTTGGGGGTCCCAAATTCTGTGAGTCAAGGAAGCACTTACCCCAGCAGAAGTTCACTTATGTCCACACCTGAGAGCATACTGCTGATATCGGGTGGCAGGGCACCTTTGATTGCATCCTGGGTGGTTTCTTTGATGGCATCAACTTTTTCAGTCACATCACCCAAGGGCTCCTGGAGGCTGGGAAGACTGATGTCCTCGATGGCTCCTCCAAGAGGACTCTTGTTTCCACCGAGGAGGCTGCTCACTGCTTTCTTACTTTTCGGTATTGTGTCATCCACTGCACTGGTGGCCTGGGACAGCAATGGAAGACCGGAAGATTCACTATCACCTCCTTGGCCTAGGAGGCTGCTAACGCCAAGGCCACCTCCCAAATCTAGGAGGGAAGTGACATCTAATGTTGATAGCAGGTCAGCGTTTCCCAAAGTAGACAAAAGGGTCCCGAGCAAGCCAGCTAAGTCGAGATCAGCACATTTCACCAAAGCCTCGATTTGTGGGGGCAGGACAGCCTGCAGATCTGCAAAAGACCAAGAGACACAGCCCTGATGAAGACCACTTACTGAGCCCAGAAAGAGGATTTTTTTCCCAGCAAAAGAGGGGCACCTTCAAATTGGGGGATGCATAGGGACTGTGTACTGTGCCTCCCAGAAACATCAACCCTTGTCCCTGCTGATCCAGGGGCAGCTTGGCATTGGAGGAATCTGTCTGTCCCCTTGTGAAGAGCTCACTGTCACACCTGAGCTGAGGCCACTGGTGTCCAGGATGTTATACCCACAGAGATCTGGATACAGAGTGAAGAAACTTAGTTTGATGTCTGAGCTCTGCAGTCCAGGGTACAGAGTCAATGCTGGCTTTTAGATGGAGTGAATGGTCTAACCCAGGGGCTTGGCTGACCTGGGCCCCAGGCTATGTGCTTGTATTATTCCAAGGGCTACTGCATGGATTGGGGTGGAGGACAGATCAGGACAGTAGGTTCTAAGTGCTGAGTGAGGTGGTGGTGGGGAGGCATAGAGCTGGCAGATCTTGATTCTTCCCTTCTCCATCCATGCAGTTCCGCTCAAGGCCCTTCCCCTTTTCCAGGTTTCCCCTGGCTCCACCCCTTTTCTGTGGGCTGGCATTTTCCTCCATCATGACTTTTTGCACTTCAGGCTGGGCAGGTAACTATTAGTGTCCTCCCATTTCTAGGCCAAGAGAGATGCATGCCCAGGGGCCTGTGGAGAGGGTGGGAAGGTAAATCCTCCCCCTGGAGAGTGGCCAGGTCACCAGGATCCTGTCCTATTGTGCTGTTCTCAGTGGTCTTAGCAGGAAGTGGGAAATAAACAGCTGTGAAATCTGGATGGTGGGAAAAGTTTGCTGGTTTTATATATTTATATATTCACTAGGGCTGAAGTAAATATGGCCCAGCAGGGTGGTAGTTAGAGCAAGCTTCCCCCTCCCCTCCCCCAGTCCTAGCCCAAAAGCAGCCCCCAGGGAGCCCGTGGGCCCCACACTTTGGCTCCTCACTGATGCTTCCCTTGTCAGAGCTCCGAGCTATGGAGAGTCAGCTGTGTCAGGAGATGTGGCCGTGTCTCAACCCCAGGCTTATGTCCTAGGGAGTCCCTTTTACAAGTTAACTTAGGGGCCTTCAAGAGAATGGGTGCTAGATTCAAGGCAGTGCTGCTAGAAATAGCAGACAACAGAGAAAACCCCAATCCCAATAGATGCTTAAACTGGAGGATTCATCCAGTCAAAGATAGCATTGCAAAGGAATGACAGTGTGGATGAACCCTATCCAGACACACAGTTTGAGAGACAGTGTAAGCAGGGCACCTATTTTGCAGACTTTGTAACATGTAGTTCAGTCTCTTCTATTGATAAGAGATTGAGAACCAATTTTTTTGTTAGACCATGAAAGATTGTCAGGGAAAAGTAATCAACTTAGAGACTTCTATGTGATGGAAGATTATAGATGAAGGACTGAAATCTGGGAGGAACCCAGGGTCTCTGGCCCTTTGGCAGGGTTTATTCCTTTACTGCAGTGGTGAGTAAAGTAAGTTCATAGCTACCACTGCCAAGTGACTGCATGATAGGTACCCAGGTTTTCACCTTTGAACTTTTCTTACATTCTGTAACAAGGAGGCTGAGAAATGCTGAGCTGATTGGATAGCCAGGCACCGGGTGTCCCTGCAGCCATGCTGCACTAGAATGTCTATGAGTGCTCCAGGTATCCCTTCTCTCTACAAGATCTGAGCAGATGTTGTAGCCTTCTTATGATTGGGAACAACTTGTTCAGAAGATAGAAGTAGCTCTCTTGGTTTGGAAGTGAGAAACTTGAATGTGACACACATTTGTGAGGTAGGAGGATTGCAGTTCAAGATCCACCCTGGGCAAAAATGTGAGACCCCATTGAAAAATAACTACACTAAAAAGGATTGGGGGGCTGGATAAAGTGGGAGAGTGCCCAATGTGAGGTGCTGAGATTAATCCCCAGAACTTCCAAAAAAAAGAAGGAAAGGAAGCAAGGAAGGAAGGAAGGAAGGGAGGGAGGAGGGAGGGAGGGAGGAAGGGGAAGGAGGGAGGGAGGAAGGAAGGCAGGAAGGAAGGAAGGCAGGAAGGAAGGAAGGAAGGCAGGAAGGAAGGAAGGAAGGCAGGAAGGAAGGAAGGAAGGAAGGAAGGAAGGTCTGGACAGGATAAAAGGTGCAGGTGAATCAATTTTTACTTACAGTCATCAATTTTGCTGCTAGACAGAAAGTACTTGGCTGCAGGTGCACACCTGCCTTTGGTGAACCCAGCTGAAGGTTTTGGGGGAGCGCTTTGCTGGGTCGAGGGACTGCCGTGGGCTGCAAGATTGGGCACAGCGGGTAGATCGACAGGAAGGCTGCCTATCACTGGAGGTGTTTCCAGCTGGGCCAACACACCCATGTAGAAAGCCACCGTGATGGCCAAGGACCAGAGAGTCCACATCTTGGTGGTGTCAACCTGCAAAGCAGAACTTGGTTAAACAGCACATTCCCGATAGATCACGCAGCCATCGTGTGTATTCATGTAGAATGGCTTAGTGGCTTTTGTAGGAGCTCACTCTCCACAACGTAGGCATACCAGCCTGCATTCTGCATTCATGGAAAATGCCCTTTTCTACTCGTAGTTTAGCTTTGAAGGAATGCAGGACAAACCCTGCCCTATGGCTTGACCACTTGGGCTGCCCTCCGCATTCAAATACCCTTGGTACTCTACCACTTGAACCATACTTCTACTTGCAGCTTTTTGCTGGCTAATTGGAAATAAGAGTATCATGAACTTTTTCTGCCTAGGCTGACTTCAAACTGCAATCCTCACATCTTAGCCTCCTGAGTAGCTAGGATTACAGGGACAGGTATGAAGCACCAGTGACCATCAAGTCAGTAAATCTTGGATGACATGCACAGGCGCTAAGAAAGGCAAGGCTTCTAGTCTAACTCCCAAGAAAGGGTAGCTATGGCAGAATCTGCACCAATGACAATTCTTCCCTTGGAATAACTTAACCTTTTTTTTTTGGTGGGGGCAACCTTATCACATTTCCATCCAATTTCATTTGGCTCTCCCATCTGTGAGAAATTTGAATTGTTATTTTTCTCTTTTTTGGGGTGGGGGGTCCAAGTCTAAGACTTGCACTCAGTACCTGATGCTTTTGCTCTTTGGCTGGTGCTCTACCAACTGAGCCATGCCTCCTACCCCCGAGTTTTTCTCTTACATCTAAGCACACTTTAAGGGAAGAAGTGCTACGCCCATGATTGAGTCCATGACCCTATTGTTAGATTTTGCTCTGAGAGGAGCCATTTGTGGATCATAGTAATCAATTCTCCATTTTCTTTAAAACAAAAATTACAAAGTAGGAACTTGTACCATCCCCCATGTGCTGGCAGCACGCTACATAGTTCAGGATGGAGGAAAGAGTCTAGATGCTGAATCTAAATCTTAGATACAGCTTCGTGGGTGAACTCTCTTCTTCCTAGCTCACAATTCCACATTCCCCAAGTGTTTCAGGAGCAAGTTCTTACCTTGTCCCTTGCTGATGGGTCGAAGGGTTCAGAAGCTGCCTCTCCTCCTGCTTCCGAACTGTTGGTGACGGAGCTGTGCCCCAGTTTTATAGTCTGATGTGTTTCAGAAAAACGTGTAAGAGGAGGGACTTGAGGTAAGTGTTCTGCGAAGGGGGGCGTGACTCGGGGAGCCTTCCAAAATCAGCACCTGCTCATTGTTCCAACCTTTGTCTGTGTCTTCCTGAAGGATGGACAGAGGGCTTGGAAGATCTTGTGACAGGACAAGTGGGCACGTCCGATGCCCTGGGGGCCTCCTGCTTCTTTGTGTTTCCCTCCTTTAACCTCAGAGGGTGGGGCAGCCATTGAAATGTCCTAATCTTGGATGCCAGGGTGTTTGCCTCACTGGGTGGCTTATCTCTCCCCTTCTTATTTTACATCTTCATAGGTTGTGGTCTTGGATCCATGGAGGTGCTGGCAGAACAGAAGGTGCTGTCTGGCCCCCAGTACCAATCCTCTGAGAACCTGGTGACCTGGGCTTGCTGGACTCAACCCCGAGTGAGCAACCTCAGGGCAGGAATCTGTGGGACCTTTTGGACAGGGTATCTGAGGCGGCCTACTAGCAAGTATACCTATGTCAGGCATGCATGTGAAATGAAAGATTCAGCCAGGACTAAGAGAAGGGATGAGCAATAGATGAGGGGGATTCAATTGTACAGTTGGACAGAGTAAGAATGGAGGTCTAGAGATTGTTGTTTGTGTGTGTGTGTGTGTGTGTGTGTGTGTGTGCGTGCGCGTGCGCGCACAGGGCCTGAGTGCTGTCCCTGAACTTTTTTTTATGCAAGGCTAGAGCTTTACCACTTAAGTCACAGCTCTACTTCTGGCTTTTTTGGCTTAATTGAAGATAAGAGCCTTATGTATATTTCTTCCCGGGCTGGCTTTGAACAGTGATTCTCAAATCTCAGCTTCCTGAGCAGCTAGGATTGCAGGCATGAGCCACTATCACCTGGCTCTAGAAATGACTGTTTGTTTGTTTGTTTGTCAGTCCTGGGGCCTGAACTCTGGGCCTAGGCTCTGTCCCTCAGCTCTTCAGCTCAAGGCTAGCGCTCTACCACTTGAGCCACAGCACCACTTTTGGCTTTTTCTGCTTATGTGGTGCTGAGGAATCAAATCCAGGGCCTTATGCATGTGAGGCAAGCACGCCACCACTGAGCCACCTTCCCAGCCCTAGAAATGATTGTTAACCAGGGGAGTTAGATAATGGGCTCAGCCCCTTGCTTCTCCTAGTTCTTCTGGAAGGAGACTGAATGGGGTCAGTAGCCTGCTGAGGTGTGTGTGAGTATATGTGTTGGGGGGGGGTGGGGACTGGGAGTTGAAGTCAGGGCCTGGGTGCTATCCCTGAGCTTTTTTACTCAAGGGCTGGTACTCTATCACTTGAGCTCAGCTTCCCTCCTCCTCCTCCTCCTCCTCCTCCTCCTTCTTCTTTTTCTTCGTTGTCGTCGTCGTC